AAGATTAGATACTACAGTTATTTACATGTGATCAGCATTATTTCAGGATTTTATAGAATGAGAAGATAGTCGTTGTATCAACTTGGTAGTAGATGTACAATGAAAAATTACATGGAAACTTATATTCCTTGATTGTTATATGTTCCTCTTGATCTTGGTTGTGTAATTGATGTTTATGGAAACATGTTCTTCATGAATCTATCAATAAACAGAATATAATGAATGCATGACAGTGTAAAGTTATATTAGACTATTTAGAATCCACTACTGAGAAACTAGAGAATCCCCAGCAAGAAAAAAAGAAGAGAATCTTGAAAATCCTCTGCCTCCAACAGGGCAAGTCTAGTTATGAACATAAAAAATTCTTAACGAGTTGGACAATATACAGTAAACTCTCTCCATAATGGTTCTTTTTATGCTTTCTATAACCTGTTTGTTGAGCTATGGACAATCACATATAAAGGGACTCCCTTCATTCTTTTCATTTTGCCTGGCTTGTATAAGTAACTCCTCACATAGCTTTTTGCTCTTTCTGGTAGCCTTGATCTTCAGTTCCCGAAAGTTTTAAGATTGCTTCTTTGATGACAGACAATCCTTGTCGTGGAATAATGATCTGTCAAACTGATCACTAGTGTAGGGAAGAATACAAAAGAATCAGGACTTAGATCTTCATCTCTACAACCATCTTAAACCAGATTACATGTCTCTTCTCCCCTTTCTTTCCCTTACTTTCCTTTTGCAACTTTGATTCTTCATAGAACATGCAAAGACAAAAACCTAAGAGTAGTTGCCGTGAACTTGAAAACCAGAAAAGTTGTCGAAACTCCAACTAGAAAATAAGGCGAAGATGAAGGCCAGAACACTTGAGGCTCGCTTGAGACCAGAGGCAAAAACCTGAAGCTTCATCAAGCTTCATCCTTTCTCGCTGCATTACGCTTTCTTCTTCCTCTGCAAGACATCTTGTTCTGCAACAAGAAGAGAAGCCGCAATACATAAAAAAGGCTTCCTCCTTGCCGTTAGACGTTGAAAAACGTTGTAGCTTGAGACGTAAAAAAATCAAGCTTCCACTTTTTGTTCTGCAAGAGTGACAAGGGAACCCAAATAGACTTTTTGTGTTCGACAAGTTTCTGCCTTCCTCCCTCTTTCTGCAACAATACACATCCAAGAAAGATTTCTTTTTTAAAATCCAACCTCAACAGACCTGCAAGTAATCTTCTCTCTTGAATTCAATTTACCTGCTTGAGAAAATTAAAAATTGGTGGCCGTTAGTCTAGAGCTTGTTTAATCTTTGTTTCCTACAACTTTATTTATGTATTTTGGATCCATATAATTAAATTTGTTTTTTCATAGTTATTTACAATAAAATACATATATATATATATATATCAATTTATTAGTTGGAGGGAGATGCTAAAGACATTAGAGATGTGTACGGTGAAAGTGATGATTTAGAAATGAGATATATCATAGAAAACATCATAACTCTTATAGTTGACCCTTTAGATGGTAACGAGTTAACTGCATATATCGAGCCAAAAGTATAACGTCCCGAGTGTTGTGGAAGCGTCAATATTACATCCATTTATATCGAAATATAGAGTCGAGACTCTAATGAGTTTGAATGCATTTACAAAACTAATTCAAAATAATATTCTCTTTATGATTCGCCTCTTAGACTTCCAAAATATCTTGATTCCATTATTGGTTCTGGTTTTGACCTTGATCTGAAATGATAGAAATTTGCGGTGAGATCCTACAATCTCAGTAAATAGTACACACCATAACCAAATAGCAACTGAGAACTTTTAGAATAATCAACTTAGAGAATGTACAAGACTCATCTATATGAATAGGTACACAAACTCCATGGATACACAAACCTTAATCATTATAGGTACACACACACCCCATGAATACACAAACCTTGCTCATGAGAGGTACCAACGCACTCCATGGTTACACAAACCCTAAATAGCAAATAGCAACTGAGAACTTTTAGAATAATCAACTTAGAGGATGTACAAGACTCATCTATATGAATACGTACACAAACTCCATGGATACACAAACCTTAATCATGATAGGTACACACACACCCTATGAATACACAAACCTTGCTCATGAGAGGTACCAACACACTCCATGGTTACACAAACCCTGATCATGCAAGGTACTAATACACCCTAAACATATTTGGATGAGTAACAACAAACTCCTCAAACAAGTGGTGAGGTATAGCCGAAATTATCTTTTCACTTTCACTTTCACCTGAGTTTGAATGTTTGACAATCACACTTATCATAAATTTATTTCCAAGCTCCTAGAATTCCAAGTATGTCAAGATGTCACAAAGCATGAATTGTTTCCAAATTACAATAATTTACACACTTCACTGTTTTTCAAATTCAAACACTTGTCCGAAAACATATCCACTTCCTAAATTCATTCGTTACCAGCCTTATTGTGGGATTAAATTCCTAAATTTCAGAAATGAGAACATGTAGATTTGTCCAAAAATTTGCCCCAAAACCGAATCCAAACAAAACCCAAAACTATTTCAAAATTCCCTCCCACACACTCACTTTTATCCCTTGAAACCACCATCCTCTTCATTTTCAATTTTTGTCGAAAATTTTTCCCTAAAACCAGAATCAAACTCATGATGTTTAGGGCCTAAAAACATAAAAATTTCATGCTCAAATTATTGAAAATAATTCTGGAAGTTTATAAACCAAAACAGAACGCACAACTCGCATTTTTTGGCAACACCATGCATGATGATCATCATCAATTTACAGTTTCATTTACTCAAACTTTTTGCAGGATAAGTCAAACAATTGCACATCAATTCATGGTACACTACTTACCTTAAATTCAAGCTAAATTCCCTTCCAAATTGCTCCCAAAAACCTGGTCAGAATTCACCAAAACCACGGCTCAAAATTGTGCAGCTTTTGCTCTTCCTCTCTCTCGGGTACATTTCTTGTCTTCACTTAATATGGACAAAATTTTCTTTTAGTTCTTAATTCTTTTTCCTAATGATTTCTAGTTCTAATTTCCTCCTAGAATCCACAAAAATTTCCTCCTAGGATCTATGGATAATAATTAATTGAATTCTTGTTAATCTAGGGTCTATGATTTTAAGGTTAATAATTGATAAGCAGAACATTGACCCTAGGGATTTCTAAGGTGAGATGAAATCGATGGACTACCCAACACAGAATATTCAACCAACATACCTCATCATGTCTTATACATATCCCTCTCTTCCAAGAACTGAAACTCTCTGTGTATGGTGGAGCTTGAACTTATAAGTATTGCAAAGGCCGAGCTTAAATGGATAGTCAGCAAAGTTACTGCTGCCTCTTTTGTTGTGGTAATCAGGATAATCGTCTTTGCGGAAGGGAACAATCTCATGCAAAGCCAGACCTTTCTTCTCTGCATTCTCCACTAATCTCTATCTGTTATAAGCATATCCTTCCTTGTGGCTTACGTGGATCTCACCTTCATCCTCTTTCAGTGGTACTCTAGCATTCTCCATAAAACCCTCCGCCAAATTGCTCGTTCAACTTATGTGTCTATACAAACACACCATCAACAATAATGTTTATGTCTATATCAGATCATATGATTATTCGACCTTGTATATATCAACTAATCAAGACATCTCCAAAATATAATAAATAGACATACATAACTGGATTAGGTAGGGGTCATTCTTGGGATAAAAGAAACCAAAATGAGGAAAGTTGAAGATGATGCAATCGAATCTCTGGGTACTGAGAAGGGAATGATATCTCTCATATATCCTATATCAAACAGCCTCTCCCTTCAAGTTCTCTCACATTACTCGATCCATAATACTTAAATCCTCTGGATCAAACAGACAATCGTTATCTCTTCGACCAGCATATATACATATATGCATCGAGGAATGTGAAGGAACTTGAAGAGAGAGGTTGTTTGGTGTTGTACGGATTGGATGTAAACGAGATGAGCCAACATCTCTATCTCAGAATCTAAAGACTCGATCGCATTGTCTTCAACTTTTCTCATGTTGGTTTCTTGTATCACGAGCATAACATCTTCCAAATCCAGTTATGTTTTCTATTTATTATCTTTTGGAGATGTCTTGAGTAGTTGATACACACAGGGTTTAATAATCATATGAGTTGATATATACATAAATATATACGCATATATATTATTGATGGTGTACATATGTAAATATAGGTTGAACGAGAAATTGGTGGAGGGTTTCATGGAGAATGCTAGAGTTCTACTGAAAGAGGATGCATGTGAGATTCATGGGAGCCATAAGGAAAGAGATCCTTACAGCAGATAGCAATTAGTGGAGACTGCAATGAAGAAAGGCCTGGTTTTACATGAGATTGTTCCGTTCCGTAACGGTACCTTTGCTGACAGTACACTTAAGCTTGACCTTTGCAGTCCTAAGTTCAAGCTCCACAATATAGAGAGTTTCAGTTCTTGGAAAAGAGGGATATGTATAAGACATGATGAGGTATATACTGTGTTGAGTAGTCTATTGATCTCATATCACCCTAGAAATTAAAAAATTGAGATGACAAATACCTGCTAGAGAAATTAAAAGCAAAAAATTAGAACTTAATAAGGGTTCTTGCTGGTCTATAGCTTGTTTAGTTTTCGTTTTACATAGCCTTATATATGTATATAACTGTGTTTTATCTTAATATAATTAAATATTATGCCATGACTTAAGCTTAATTTTCACGGTTTTTTACAGCAATCTAAACAAATGTTTCACTTTGCAAAAAATTAATAAAATATATAAATTTCTAGTTAGGCGACATTAATTAAGGATAATAATCGATTAGCAGAATCTTGATAGTCAACACAGAATATTCAACCAACACACCTCTCACCATGTCTTACACATATGTCCATCTTCCGAGAACTGAAACTCCATGTACATATATATATTAGCTGAGCTTCTTGAACTTATAAGTTCTGCAAAGGCCTAGCTTAAATGTACGGTCAGAAAAGCTACCGCTGCCTCTTTTGTTGTGGTAATCAGGGTAATCATCTTTGCAGAAGCGAACAGCATCACGCAAAACCAGACCTTTATTTTCTGCGTTAACCACTAATCCCCATCTGTTGTAAGGATATCCTTCCTTGTGGCTCACATGAATCTCACCTTCATCCTCTTCCAGTAGAACTCTAGCATTCTCCATAAAACTCTCCACCAGTTCCTCGTTCAACCTACGTTTATATATATATAAACGCCATCAAACAACGTATGTATGCATATAATTATGTACATCAGTTCACATCATTATTCAACCTTGTATATCCTATGTCAACTACTCAAGACACCTCCAAAGTATATAAATAAAAATACATAACTGGATTTGGTACAAGTTATTCTCGGGACGCAAGAAACCAACATGTGGAAAGTTGAAGATGATGCGATCGAATGTCCGGGTACTGAGAAACCAGTGTTGGCTCATCTCTTTTACATCCACTCCGTAAAGTACCAAGCAGCCTCTCTCTTCAAGTTCCCTCACATTCCTCAATCCATTATCGTATTTTTCATCTAAATCCACTGTGTTAAACAGGCCATCGTTATCTCTTTAGCCAGCATATATACATGCATATATATCCTCACGAACTAATTCATCTGTCCAGAGATGAATGATATCATGTTTCTATCAAAAAACCCATCAGCCAAAACCATTTTGATGGAAAACCCACGAATGAAACTTCTTCAGCAAGCATATATATATATATATATGTATATAGGTATATATAATAATAGACACTAATGTATCTGTCCAAAGATAAAATGATATTAAGTTTTTATCAAAAACCCATCTGCGAAATCTATTTTGATGGAAAACCCAGGGAGGAAATCTATTCATGTTTGAGAAATAGTAGGAACAAAAAGAAGAAAGTAAAAACGTTAGGCCTATCGAGGAAAGTAACACCATGTATATATACACACAGTAATATGTCAGTGGGAAGGTGAAAAACTTTCTTGATTTTATCAAAAGCCCATCTGCGAAATCCATTCTGATGGAAACCCAGGAAGGAAATCCATACAGGTTTGAGAAAATAAGAAAAAGAAAAGAAAAATAACACTGGGCATCAAGGCAAATGGCAACACATATATGCACATACTAATGTGTTTGTAGGTAAGTGGAATAATATCACGTTTTTACCAAAAAACCAAACTGCGAAATCCACTTTGAAGGAAAACCCGGGAAGGAAATCCATTCAGGTATGAGAAAATAGAAAAAAGAAAAGAAACCTTGGGTATCAAGGCAAGTAGCAACCATGTTTCCTGCGAAGCCAAAAGCTCTGGCTAAGCAGAGGGAAAACGAGAAGTCTCCTTCTCCGACCAGTAAGATCCGTTGCTTTGATGAGTAATGACTCATCCATTTTTCTACTTGTTCTATTTCCTCTTTTGGTTTTACTTCTTCTCTTTCCTCTTCTGGCTTTACTTCTTCTCTTTCCTCTTCAGGTTTTACTTCCTCTTTTTCCTCTTCTGGTTTTACTTGTTCCTCATTGTCCTCTTCTTGTTTTGCTTCTTCCTCTTTTTCCTCTCCTGGTTTTACTTCTTCTCTTTCCTCTTCTGGTTTTACTTCTTCCTCATTGTCCTCTTCTTGTTTTGTTTCTTCTTCTCTTTCCTCTTCTGCCTTTACTTCTTCTCTTTCCTCTTCTTGTTTTACTTCTCCCTCATTGTCCTCTTCTTGTTTTGCTTCTTCCTCTTTTTCCTCTCCTGGTTTTACTTCTTCTTCTTCTTCCTCTTTTGTTTTTATTTCTTCTTCTTCTTCTTCCTCTTTTGTTTTTATTTCTTCTTCTTCTTCTTCTTTCCCCATTGACTATTGTCTGATCTTCCTACAATATCCATTGCTCTATGTGCCACAATTTATATATGAATTATCTTGACTTGTTTAGTTTCACGAAAAAAGATCACAGGCGAGCTAATAAATGTATAAAGCATGATTATGGTATATTTTACATTTTACTTTTACTTAAATTGGATACTGTGCATACTTCCATTATTTTTTAAAGACTATTGATTTAAATTATTTGTTAATCACTTAGTAAATCAATACTTTTTACTCTAATTAACTGCAGGGACTCTTAGTTTTTTGTATGAAGTATTTGCTCATATGAACCAGTCGCATTCCATTTCCAACTCTAACCATTACTCTCCCTCTGCGCCACTTCGATTCCTGTGTCTATACATACACACATATTTTCATTAATGAAGTTCTTTTTTCCTATTTATTTACAACAATATATACACACACACACACAACATAGATGCTCATTCTGATGGAAGAACACAAACAGGTGCTTACTGTGTTCATTACATGGAACACGATTTAACAAAGGAACTAAGTGGTCTAATTGAGACCTCTTCATTATGGCATAATTTTGCTTTGGGAAAATTGATTAATAATTAGTTTGATTAGAAAAATTAAATGTAATATTAAGTGTATGTAAGTTATGTGATATTATGTTATTAATACAAAACTAACAATTTAATTTTAAATCTCTGAATTTTAAGATATAGGAACTAATCAATTTAAATTAATTTTTTTTTTCTCGTAATAAGTACATTATTTTTTCGTGTGATTAATTTTAATAAGATGAAATATAAAAACTTCTATACACTATTTTTTTTTTTAATAACCAATATAATATGTATCATCAAGTATATAAACTCTAAAGGAATACTAACCAATGTATAAAATTATTTATAGGTCGGAAAAGATCTCGTTCAATTTTTCTAAATCTTTCGGATAATACGAAGGTTGATCTATAATAAAAAAATCAATGATCGAAAATCATCTCTTACGAATTTTGTCAATACCCTTTGTTTGTTTACAAACTCTCATGTTTCTCTTTTTTTTTTTTATTTTTCCACATAACCCAAAAATTTTACAAGTAGAATAAGCCATAAGTAGTTTTTCCACTCAACCTACACATTCCATGCCCATAACTCAATTAAAGCCAAAAATCTACTATGTCATAGACCACAAACTATGCACAATGGGAAAAACTTCTACACACTATAACGAAAAGAATGAAGTTGCTGTTAAGGGTATAACAAGTTAACTTAGGGTAGAAAGAGGAACCCTAATGGGATTCTTGTCGATCTAGGGCTTGTTTAATTTTCTTTTCCTATACCTCATACATGTATGTATATATCTACGTGTTTTAGATTAATATAACCACATATTATATCATGAAATAAAATTTTTGTCGGTATAAAGATTATTCTTCATAAAAAGAGGGATGATGTTATGTATTAGTAAAATTATCATATGAATCGTGTTTTTATATCAGTAAAATATAATATAGTATCTTAAACCCTAATTATTTAAAAAAGTGATAAATTTGTTAAAATTATCTTAACCTTATTAAATTTATATTGATTACGGGTATGGTCTAGATGTTGTTTAATTTAACATTTTGGCATAATGGAAAATTTCAATTTTGTCAAGAGTTGGAATATGCGTTCCGAGAACTGAAACTCTATATGTAAATATGTATATGTATATTATATCAGCTCCTACATGTTAAAGTTGGGATCATGATCGTTCTTGAACTTTTAAAAGTGCTGCAAAGGCGGAGCTTAAACTTAGGGTTAGCAGACTGACGGCTGCCTGGTAATCAGGGTAAACTTTTTTGCAGAAGGGAACAGTGTCATGCAAAACCAGACCTTTCTTCTTTGCGCTCTTATCTAATCGCCATCTGTTGTAAGGATATCCTACCTTGTGGGTCGCATGAATCTCTACCATCATCCTCTTTCGGTAGAACTTAGCATTCTCCATAAAACCCGCAAGCAATTCCGCGTTCAAACTATACTTATATGTATCCATATAAACCATCAACAATATATATATATATATATATTTATGTATACATCAGTTCACACGATTATTTAACATTGCATATACGTAACTGGATTTGGATGGGGGCATCATCGGGAAACTGGGAAACTGGGAAACTGGGAAACCAACATTAGGAAAGTTGAAGATGATGCGATCGAATCTCTGGGAAATGAGAAAGGAATGTTGGCTCATCTCTTTTACATCCACCCCGTACAACACCAAGCAGCCTCTTTCTTCAGGTTCTCTCACATTACTCGATCCATTTCCATATTCGTTACTTAAAATCCTCTGCGTCAAACAGACCATTGTCATCTCTTTACCCAGAATATATACGTATATATATATACACACTCAGGAACTAATGTATCTGTCCAGAGATTATTGATATCATGTTTTTATCAGAAAACCCATCAGCCAAAAACATTTGATGGAAAACCCACGAATGAAATTTCTTCAGCAAGCATATATATATATATATATGTATATATATATATATATATATATATATATGATATTAGACACTTAAGGTATCTGCCCAGAGATAAAATGATATTATGTTTTTATCAAAAACCCATCTGCAAAATCTATTTTGATGGAAAACCCAGAGAGGAAATCTATTCATGTTTGAGAAATAGTAGGAAGAAAAAGAAGAAAGGAAAAACCTTCGCCCTATCAAGGCAAGTGACACCATGTATATGTACACATACTAATGTGTCAGTGGATATAATATCATGTTTTTATCAAAAGCCCATCTGCGAAATCCATTCTGGTGGAAAACCCAGGAAGAAAATCCATTCAGGTTTGAGAAAATAGAAAAAAGAAAAGAAAAACAACCTTGGGTATCAAGGCAAGTGGCACCATATATATACACATACTAATGTGTCGGTGGGAAGGTGAAATAATACCATGCTTTTATCAAAAACCCATCTGTGAAATCCATTTTGAAGGCAAACACAGGAAGGAAATCTATTCAGGTTTGAGAAAATAGAAAGAAAGAAAAGAAAAATAACTTGGGTCTCAAGGCAAGTGCCGCCAATGTTTCCTGCGAAGCCAAAAGCTCTGGCCGAGCAGAGGGAAAAAGAGAAGTCTCCTTCTCCAACCAATAAAACCAGATGCTTTGATGAGTAATGATTTTTCCATTTTTCTACTTCGTTTTCCTCTGGTGATTTTACTTCTTCGTCTTATTTCCCCATTAACCATTGTTTGGTCTTCCTGCCTCTTTTTCTCTTCATCTGTGATGGGGGAATTCCTGTTTGTGCCACCATTCATATATGAATGATTTTTGTTTGTTTATTTTCATGAAAAAAAATCACAGATGAGCTATAATAAATACATAAGTATGATTATTGTATATTTTACATTTTACTAGCTCTTCTGTGATTCTTTTTCGTAAAACACTTTTATACATATGTCATGCACCACAGATTATGCGTAATGGAAAAAACTTTTATACATTTAAGAGTATACAAGTTAATTTAGAGTAGAAAGAGGTACGCTACGTAGTTGAGAAATTAAAAAATCGAGATGACAAATACCTGCTTGGAAAAAGCAAAAAATTTAAAATTAATGGAATTCCTGTTAGTCTAGGGCTTGTTTAATTTTCGTTTCCTATAGCCTTATATATGTATATGTATGTGTGTTTTAGATTAGTATAGTCATATATTATGCCATGAAACTAAGATAACTTTTGGTGGTTATTTACGACAATCTATACATGCATAATGTACATGTATAATACAGATATCTGGTCATTAGATGATTAATAAGCAAGTCATACACCAAACTAATATCATTTTAGATTAAATATATATTAATATGCCTTTTGTATAAAATCTTTACACAAAGATTGATATTAACCAGTTTGGATGGTTCAAGATCTTGAAAGATTTTGTAGTTGATCTTGAATATACAACTACAATTAGAATATACTGGTTATTGTTTAGAACGAGCGTAGGAGATGAATGGTTAAGATTATTGAACAATGATAAAGCATGCTGAGAAGCTGTTGAACATTGCAATGATGGAGATGTTATAATGAGTATGTTTCTACTGTATCAATTTATAATGAGAAAATAGATTTTATTAAGTTGAAACGAGTCGGAGGGATAATTTAAAGACATTAGAGGAGTGTACACTGAGAATGATGATGTGAAAATGAGAGAGACCACAAAAGATATCAGAAATCTTACTTACAGCCATTTATAAGATAATAACGTAACTGCATGCATCAAGTAAAAAGTGTATAGAAATAGCATCATTGATGACTGGGGTAATAATTTAACTTGTAGAATTCAGGGAGTTATTTGAGGAGTGATGAATAGTCGTGATGACGAGATATATATATATATATATATATATACACACACACACATGAGCTTCTGCAAGTTAAAGTTGGGAGATTATGAGTTGATTAAATTTCTGAAAAATGAAAAAAAATATGGAAGAAAGTGAAGAGAAAAAAATGCAGGAAAAATAAGAGTTTTCTGATGTTGGAAAAGTGTTTAATGACCTACACTTTTCCATTAATTTGATACATGTATATATATATATATATATATATGTATATACAAGATGGAGGGAAAAATTTACAGATTAAATCACCAATGAATTCTACCAACTCTTAAGCAGATCATCATTAAATCAGAAAAGTAAAGGAGCTCAATTTCTATTTGACAGCTTACTACCTAAAGCTGTCAATACTAAAAAAAGAATAGTAAACAGATAATTCTGGAGTTGAAATAACAAAAGAGTCAGCTCATTGTTCCATGGAAGACTCAATCTTTAACGAGATCACTGTCAAGCTTGAACTTAAAAGTTCTTGAAAGGCTGAGCTTAAATTTACGGGTTAGAAAAGTCACCGCTGCCTCTTTTGTTGTGGTAACCAGGGTAATTGTCTTTGCAGAAAGGAACCTTCTCATGCAAAGCCAGACTTTTCCTCTCTGCGTTCTCCACTAATCCCCAACAGTTGTAAGGATATCCTTCCTTGTGGCTTCGCATGAATCTCACCTTCATCCTCTTTCAGTAGAACTCTAGCATTCTCCATAAAACCCTCCACCAATTGCTCGTTCAACCTATACATATAAACACAAACACCATGAACAATATGCATATGTATACGTTTATGTATGTATCAGTTGAAATGAGTATTCAACCTTGTATGTATCAACCACTCCGAAGTATAATAGATAGAAATACATAACTGGATTTGGTAGGGGTTATTCTCGGGAAACAAGAAACCAACATGAGGAAAGTTGAAGATGATGCGATCGAATCTCTGGGTACTGAGAAACGAATGTTGGCTCATCTCTTCTACATCCACTCCGTACAACACCGTGCAGCCTCTCTCTTCAAGTTCTCTTACATTACTGGACCCATTTACATATTTGTTACTTAAATCCTCTGCGTCAAACAGACCATCGTTATCTCTTCAGCTCACGCACTAATGTATCTGTCCCAAGATGAAATGATATCATGTTTTTACCAGAAAGCCCATCACCCAAAACCATTTTGCTGGAAAACCCACGAAGGAAATTTCTTCAGAGAGCATACATACATATATATAAAATAATACACATTAATGAATTGGTCCAAATATCAAATGGTATCATGTTTTTATTAAAAACCCATCTGCAAAATCCATTTTGATGGAAAACCCAGACAAGAAATCTATTAATGTTTGAGAAATAGTAGGAAGAAAAAGAAGAAAGAAAAAAACCTTCGCTATCAAGGCAAGGGGCACCATATATATATACACACACTAATAACATCATGCTTTTATCAAAAACCCATCTGCAAAATTCATTTTTAAGGAAAACCCAGGAAGGAAATTCATTCAGGTTCGAGAAATTTTTTTTTTTTTAAAAAGGAAAAACAACCTTTGGTATCAATGCAGGTTGCAACCATGTTTCCTGCAAAGCCAAAAGCTCTGGCCAAGCAGAGGGAAAAAGAGAAGTCTCCTTCTCCAACCAATAAGATCCGATGCTTTGATGAGTAATGCTCTATCCACTTTTCTACTTCTTCTGTTTCCTCTTTTGATTTTACTTCTTAGTCTTCTTTCCCTACTGACCATTGTTTGGTCTTCCTACCTCTTTTTCTCTTCATCTGTGATGGGGGAATTCCGGTTTGTGTATTCATATATGAATGTATAAGTATGATTATTGTATATTTTACATTTTATTTTTATAATTTATTTCTACTTATTGGACACAGTGCATACTTTTGTTTTTCATTATGAGTGTGTTAATTCTAACTAGAAGCTGAATGTGCTCTGTATGTACTTATGATGAGATTGTATTAAATGACATGTCTTTTCTTTAAAAAAAGATCACAGATGAGTTAATAAATGTATAAGTATAATTATTGTATATTTTAGATTTTATTTTTATAATTTGTTTCTACTTATTGAATAGAGTTCATACTTCCATTATTTTTTAAGAGGATGTTAACTCAGAATTATAAGCTGAATATGTTTAGTATGTACTAATTAATTGCAGGGACTCTTAGTTTTGTCTGTTAAGTATTTGCTCATTTTAACCAACTGCATTCAATTTCCAACTCTAACCATTACTCTCCCTTTTTCCACTTCGATTCCTGCGTAAGTGATATACATATATTTATATATGTGTAACATGTGCATGTATGTATAGTTTAATGTTTGATACCACTAATTGAAAAAAAATAGGTCTCCTTTTTCTTCAATGAGAGAATATGTAGGATAAATAAAAGAGAGGTAGACATGAGAAATCAGAAGAAAGAATGAAAATTGCATCAAGAGCTCTGTACTCAGCCAATAATTTAATCTGGACAAATCATCACTTTACTTCATAATTAGTTCTCAAAATATTTTTTATTACAGTTTACTCATAATTTGTAATCTTTCATACATTGGTGAAAAGAATTAGGGGTTTCATCCTCTTTTCTTTATTGTCTTTTGTTGTTGCTTTGATCTACAGACAATACATATGAAGGAAGTTCTTCATAGAAATTATGGCATTTTAAATGCTATGCCTCAATTTGGATCGAAAACTCGAGGTCTATTAGATTTGTTTTCATTATTTTCATTTCGCCTGGCTTGTATCTGTAACTCCTCACCTAGCTTTTTGCTCTTTCTGGTAACCTTGATCTTTGGTACCTGAAAGTTTTAAGATTTCCTCTTTGTTCGCAGACAATCCCTGTCGTGGAATAACATTCCTAAAACTGATCACATGAGTGTAGAGAAGAATACATAAGAATCATGACTTAGTCTTCATCTCTGCAACGATCTTCCCGAATTGATCAGGATGATTCCCTAATAATGTGCCTTCTTGTACCTATTAACATTCCCAATCTTGTGCTGAGTTCAGTTAACATACTCCTACATATCAATTTGTTGCAAAATTTAAGCACAAGAACAAATATAGAACAAAGAAATTAATCTGCACAAACATTATGACTATTTCTGTTATTGGAGGAAAAATCACTAGTACAAAGATTATTGATGGGCATTATAGCACAATACTGACAAATATTACAGTATAATGTAAGCAAGGAATAAAAAAATCTAGTGTAATTTGTTTGTTGAACCAAGAATAATGTAAGTAATGAGTCTAATCCTTTAGTATTTATCTCGAAAAATAATAAACTAACTAAATATAGCATCGAGATTCCTTGACAACTCTCGGGTCTTAGGACTAAGCCCATGTCTTAAGATAGCTTCAGGTCCCAGTCAACATACAGTTTCAGGAGTGCACCAAGGTTCTATGAGAACACTGAGTCTCCGGAATACTCATGTTTATGGATTGCTTTGAGATTTCAGGCCAGCTCTGGGGTCCCAGAACAGCAAAAGAGTCCCAAGACATCCCCAGGGTCCCAGGCCTTTGCAAGGATGATAGGGCTACACCGGATCCTACAATTACTCTAGGATCCTAGAACTATGCCAGGATCCTGAGACTGCTCCCAGACCAAGTAGTATAAGAGTTTTCTTTAAGTTGTTTTTTTTACCAAGATACAACTTTTATCCCAATGTTTTACTTAGTAACCAAGATTTTTCTCCTTAAGTTTAACTTGATAACCAAGATACAGTACAAAAATTTATTTAGTTCCATAATTTAGAATACCAAGTATGGTACAAGATATTACTATGAAGACATGTAGTATGCCAGGATTGTATAGAACTGCAAACAAAGGCTCCATATAACAACTTTCTGCTGCCTAAAACTTCCCAACAACCAACCTCACTCTTAAAACCTAGGAATTTCCTCCCATAAGACGTCTTATATATGTAAGGGAGATACTTGTGGGTGTAACAGCCATGGGCAAAAGAAATTTCTTGTACTCATAAGCCTCATAGGATCATAAATCCTATTACCCAAATACTTATGGTATACATAAATAAGAGATTCCAATACAATTAGGTCTTATCAGTACCATGCAATTCAAAGGCATAGTTAACAGTATGTGATCTCTAATCATCAATCTTGACATGAATTGTCTGCTATTGCAGTTTCCGTTGTTGACTTCTTTGAATCCAGCTTAAGAACCCCCTTTAAACTCGGTAATATATGGAGCCTATTCTCCAGCCTGAAATAATTTCCTTGGGGAACCATATCTCAGGGTCAAACTAAGACACCTTTGATTTCCAAAGGTGTTGCTTGGTTGAGTTCCCTGAAATTTCTTGGCATGAAAACCTTGTAAGCAGCATTCATCAGATACTAATGGCTTCTATAAGCCAGTAACTAAGTTGTAGGCTGACTTTAGTATCAAACTTATTTGAGCGAGATAAACCCTTGAGCAGAGTTCAGTGTGTACGGTCTAACCAATGTGCTGATCTGATAGCCATTGTTAAGATCTAGGTAGTTGGTGTTGCCTTGCATTCACAGGATGGTTTGTTGTTGATCAATGAACAGATAAAATCAATTCAACTCAACCAGATTGATTGTCCCCGTAATAATCAGCGACATATGACATGCTTATGATATTAACACAGATAAAAAAACAATAAAGAGCTTCTCCAGAGAAAAGATAAAATCAATTAAAAGAAACTTGCTTCCACCCAGAAACAAAAAGAAATCCACAAAAAAATTTTAAGAGCTCAATTCAATCATGACATAGAAGCAATGAAGATAGCTGAAATGCAATTTCTGGGAGCCAAGCAGTACAACAATGATCCAAAGCAAGATTGCAGACTTCACAGATGGAATCTTAACCTGAAACCTCATTCTCGGAAAGCTTTATTCTTGTGGTTATGAAGGTGCGACAAATTGGACACATGAACAAATCTCTTCCACATTGGTAACATGTCTGAAAATATTAAAATGCAATAATAAGAAGATAAAAGTACTGTCCATCAAAAGAAAATAAAACGACTTGAAAATTCTCATTTTTGTTTCAAGTTACCTGATGTCCACAACCAAATACAAGATCCTTATTGCTCCAGAGACACAGAGAACATTTCTGCAAAGCATAAGGAGATTTCTAATATATAGAACTAAAAACAAAAGATTTTCTGTGCTATAGCTAATAGGCAAAAGCAAAAGAGTGCAAGTATTCATTTAGTACACAATGAGATTAGATTTCTACCTTGTTGTGATGACAACTCATGCTGGTAGAAACAGGAGAAGGTGCGTAATTGAATCCAGTTGCTCGTTTGGTCTGCTCAGTTGGCTGCATATAATTTGGATGGCAATTGACAGTGTTTCCTAGTGGAGGAGGAAGAGGCAACCTTGCAGAAGTTTCTTTTGGACAACTGAAAATAACAACAAGACCCTGAGTGCCCTTTTCCTTCAGTATGCTTCTATTTAGCAACAATTTGAATTTTTGAAGTGCATTATAGAGATGATACCTCAAAAGCTGGTGGTCTAGTGTCGCTTTATACTGTGATGGGATTTCCATTAATGCACGAAGTGCAAATTCTGTCTCCTTCTGGGACATAGGTATGTCCTTTGACATAATTTCGGTGAAATTCACAAACTGCATTCAACATATAATTAGGAAGTGGAATTAAAGTTTACATGAACATTAGTTCCATAAACTTTTCGATTAACCATTGAAACCTGAAAATTGTCAAAAGTCCGGGAAGGAATGTCATTGTCAAAGTTGTGCATCATGTCCCATGGTCCATCTCCAACACCAACCAAAACTATTGACAGAGGATATTTGCTGCAAATATGGATGCTTCTTCAGAATTTGTCACAGAAAAAAATTTTGAAGTGTTCCAAGATGGATGAGTTTATATTAGAAGAAGTTGCAACCTTGCTTCCACAATAGCATTAATGGTACTTTGGTTTTGAGAAGTTGAGTTCTGACAAGCTATGTCCACGTTTGCAACCTTGCATATCATGCGAATTAAGAGTATCAGCCAAAGAAAATTTTACAGAGAAAGTAAGCGAAGAGAGATCTGCCAAACATAACATAAATCCTCAAGTTACAAGAGGCTTTAGTCAAAAGGAAAAGTAGAAACATATATACACGCACATCGCACTTGCATGAAGAAACTGACCTGTCCATCAGCAATTATTACAAGAACATGATACTGGCCACCACGATGGTTAACAATCCCAATAGCAGTTTCAATAATTGGTCCAAAGGATGTCGGTCCTGACAATGTGAACACAATCAAATTCTGGGTGGTAGCTGCTAATCACGAGGAGTATATGAAGTGAAAAGAATCATTTAAACCAACCTGCCAACTGCAGGTTTGGAACAATTTCTCTGTATCGAGTGAGGACTTCCTCAAAGCCATTGCATGGCTTACTATCTGGGTAGAAGCTAAAAACATCTCGATCATGTGTACTCACTACAAAGTTCAACTGAACATGTTAAATCATAAATCCCTTAAGAAATTTTCCATCAGAAATTTTAGCAGATTTCACACTACTAACCATCTCCAAAGCCATAACAAGGAATGAGGCCATCCTCATCGAAAGCAGAAAGAGTTCTTCCAATTATAGATATTGCTTGCTCATATGGATTTAAGGAATCCCCAAGGTGATGCAAGCACTTGCCATTAAAAGACTTTTTACCTTTCCATACGTTGCTCTTTGTGAAATCAATACCTAGTATAAGATTGGAAGATTCCATTCCTGCATGAACAATAGCTTCCCTGACCTGCATAAAATACGTATAGACCTTCATTACTGTGTTCCAGCAGCAAATATAAGCAAATACCCCATGTCCTTAAGAAACAAAGCTCAATTTTGACAACTTTGAGTTCTTTAACAATGTAAACAAAGAGGATAAAATCAAACTCCATCTCCTACAGTCTGATATCCAAAGATGTTTCATGTTTTAGTCTTTCCTGTGAAAAGCATAGAATATACATGTGCTGCAAAAAGGAAAGAGAGTTTAGCATAAAAGAAAATGCATAATACCTGTTCAAGAGAGTGATAATCATCATTGATCTTTGTGTATCGAGACTGTACCTTACTCTGATCATTGTCAATACAATTGACAGAGTAATAAGAGTAAGATGGAGAGCTTGGGACTGATGAAGGCCAACAAGTGTAGACAGTGTTCTGTCGAGTAGACTGTTTGCCTCCCATGATTGAGATCTTCTGTCAGGCAGGAATCTCTGTGTTACAGTATAACAACAACCTTCTACTTCTTGGCACTAAAACATCACATCCCAATTTCATCAGATATCAACAAAAGTTTCCGAAAAAGCTTGCTAATTTCTTATCCAACTTCTTAGCAATCAAAAACCCAAAAGGTTGAGTTGTATAGATACTAACTACAACATCATTATCATGCATTTTATGAAATCTTTTCTTGGCACTGCAAAAATCACATCTCAATTTCATCAGAGATCAACAAAAATTTCTGAAAAAGCTTGCTGATATTCTTAACCAACTTCTTAGCAATCAAAAACCCAAAACGAGAAATAGTTTGAGTTGTACAATACTAATTACAACATCATTGTTATGCATTTTATGAACAAGATTTGGCACTATTTCTCCCAATATACGATTAAAGAAAAGACAACAAAACAAATTCAGATACTATTCCAGAAAGACAACACATAATAGAAAATTGACTACTAGTAAGTACTACATACGAGCTCAATCAACTTCAAGCAACCAGAAGGGGATGCAGCGGAAGAACAGATGCCATACAAAGACACAGATGTAAGGCAAGCTTCGGTGAGAAACAAAGATAGTGATCTTCAGATAAATGACTTAATTTATATCCAAAAAAAAAAAAGAAAAAGGTCAACCCAATAAACATTTTCGGAAAAAGAAGGAAAATTTCATGGAAGTTTGGAGGTATATACAGTACATTAGTCGTTATCAACTCACCGCGTGAATTCGAATTTGTTAAAGAATTCCCAATTGAAATTTCCAAGAACGAACCCACTCCCATGGCTGCAATGTAACTAAAATCAAAGAAAACGAGTGAAACAAAGAAATGGATTAACTTCGCCATCACTGAAAAAAGCCAAGAACACTGCAAAGAAGAAAGGGAAAAGGACAGGTCAAGGTTGACTTTGAATGGAAATGAAATTAAATAATGTGGAGCATCATGAACACCTACTGAAGATTACTTTAGGCTACAATGTTAAAATGACCAAGATGGAAAGTGAAAATATAGACTGACTACATGCTCCAATTTGGTGTTCATAGCCTCATTATCCTCTCTATTTATTTTAACTTAAGAAAAATAACTACTTTGGTTACAAAAAAAGAACATGGGCAAAATCTTACTGTGGTTATGTTATATATATATATATGTCTCTATTTGGTTATAATATAATTTTTTAAATATAAATTTAAAATTTATGTAACTTTTTTTTTTTTATAAATTCATACTTATCTTAACTAAAATATAATAAAAATTTTATTTAAAATAATAAAAATTAGATTTAGATTCATATAAAATTTAATATATATACTTGAATCAATAAGTTATACAGTAATTAACTAATAATTAATTTAATAAGATCGTAACTTCTTAATTAATATTTTGATCAATTTATAACGATGAAGTTGAATTTTAAACTATTGAATAATAATATTTTTAGATAAAACAAATATTCCGTAATAATTAAATTTTTTTAGTAAAAAATAGATATGTTAAAAAAATTTAATTTTTTTAAAAAATTTTAAACTGAAAAAAATAAAATAAAATAACATAAGCATTTGATTTTGATGATCATAGATTAGTAAAATATTGAACAAGGCATTTCTATGGTGAGATCAATGGACTACTCAATTTCATACACAAAATGTCTCTCAACATAGAATCAACCAATAAGCCCTTATTAGTTTTATTTACATTTCCCCATCTACCAAGAACTGAAACTCCATACATATATAGATATCTGTGAGCTCCTGCAATGCAGTCAAGTAAATTTGGGAGCATGGTTGAGCTTGAACTTATAAGTACTGCAATCGCCGAGAGAAAATGGTAAATCAGGACGAGTACCATTTGCTCGTTTGTTGTGGTAACCCGGGTAATCATCTTTGCTGAAGGGAACAATCTCATGCAAAACCAGACCTTTCTTCTCTGCGTTCTTCACTAATCCCCATCTGTTGTAAGGATATCCTTCCTTATGGCTCACATGGATCTCACCTTTCTCCTGTTTCAACAGAACTCTAGCATTCTCCATAAAACCCTTTATCAATCTCTTGTTCAACCTATTTACACACCATTAATAACACATATCAATTCATCATTCCAACTTCTATCAACTGAAGATATCTCCAAGGTATATAAATAGACATATATTACTAAAGATGAAAATGAACAGCCATATTTGTTACAGTGGCATTGACTTCAATATATTATCTCCCATTACCTGATACTATCTCTGATTCCCTTTTGTATAAAACCAAAACAAACAAAATGGTAACTTTTCTTTAGCAATAAGAGTATTTCCAGACCAAATTTTATAAGATTCAAGCAGAAAACTAGATATTATCTCCCGTTAGCAGATATTCATTGGATAGTGAATAGAGAGTAAACCCAACTAAATTCCAGTTATATTGATGGTAAAAACACTTATTTGATATAACATTGGACGATGAACAGAGAATAAACCCAACTAAGATTCGAGCTATATTAATAATAGAAACACTCATTATATAACATTGGACAGTGAATAGAGAAATAACTCAACTAAGATTCGAGCTATATTGATGGTAGAAACACTCATTTGATATATGATTGAATGATGAATAGAGAGCACACTCATCTAAGATTTGAGCTATATTGATGGTATAAGCACTCATTTGATATAACAAATTAGAATTGATGATTATTAGTTCTGCTGACAAGTATGGTTACTATTTTCATTACTTAATCTTATTTCTAGAAGTGAAAAGGAAGAATTCTCTCTACTTTCATCAATTCTTTTATGTAACATTATAATCTCAAATGCACCGGGTGATGAAAGGCAGTGTGCCTATAATCAGTCTCGCAGAGGACCTATTCACTGTGTGAAAACTGGTCTGCTCATAGTCTTATCCCTGAAACTAATGTGTACTGTGTGTGTCTATACGTATGCATATATATTAGGTTCTGCAAATAGAAATTAGAATGACTCCAAATAGTGAAATAAGTACTGAAACTGATACTATGCTGAAGTAATCATTATAAAGGAATGAAGAAAAACTGAGATGAAATTGGGGGAAGGAGACTCATAACTGGATTTGGCAGAAGCTATCCTCACGATACAAGAAACCAACATGAGGAAAGTTGTAGATGATGCGATCGAATCTCTGGGTTCTGAGAAAGAAATGTTGGCTCATATCTTTTACATCCACTCCGTACAACACCAAGCAGCCTCTCTCTTCAAGTTCCCTCACATTCCCCCATCCATTTCCATATTTTTTACTTAAGTTCTCTGTGTCAAATAAACAATCCTCATCTCTTCAGCAAGCAAATATATATAGATGAAACAAGATCATGTTTTTATCAAAAACCCATCTGCCAAATCCATTTTGATGGAAAACCCACTGAGGAAAACACAAACACACAACACACTAACTAATACACACCAATGCATCAGTCCAAAGATCAAATGGTATCAAGTTTTTATCAAAAATCCATCTGCAAAATCCTTTTTGATGGAAAACCCAGATAGGAAATCGATTCATGTTTGAGAAATAGTGGGAAGAAAAAGAAGAAAGAAAAAACGTTCACTATCAAGGCAAGTGGCACCATATAAATACATACGCTACTGTGTCAGTTGGAAGGTGAAATAATATCATGTTTTTATCAAAAACCCATCAACGAAATCCATTTTGATGGAAAACCCAGGAAAGAGATCTATTCAGGTTTGAAAAAATAGAAGAAAGAAAAAAAATAACCTTGGGTATCAAGGCAAGTGGCGACCATGTTTCCTGCAAAGCCAAAGGCTCTGGCTAAGCAGAGGGAGAAAGAGAAGTCTCCTTCTCCAACCAACAAGATTCGATGCTTTGATGAGTAATGTTTTCTCCATTTTTCTGCTCCTGGTTTTTCGTCATCCCAGTCGTCGTCGTCATCATCATCATCATCACCATCTTCATCTAGTTCTTCCTCTTTAGATTCTACTTCTTCTTCTCCTACTTCATAATCATCTTTCCCCATTGACTATCGTTGGTCTTCCTTTCTCTGTAAGCATCAGTAATGGGAATTCCAGTAATAAAGGAAATAGCCAAACAGCAGCATAAGACAGGGAAAGCAACAAATCGACTTTTTTTCTTCTTTCCTTTCTCTCTCTCTCTCTCTCTCACCGCTTCCCAGTAAGGTAAAGTAAGATGAGTTTTATTCAAATATTGATTTTCCTAAAAATAATTTTTTTAATTTTAAACTAATTCTATATTATATTTTTTGAAAGATTATTCTATTGTAAAAATTTGGTCTCATATGTAACTAAACTTGTTATTAAATGGATATATATCTATATATACCTACAAAATAGTTGTGGCATAGGGTTTATAAATTTACCTTCAATTATTTTCTTCTTCCTTCTTACACACAAAAGTTGAAATAATTAATCAAGTGTTTAACACATATGATTTGTTTAAATAGTACTAGAGACAAATAAGTTATTATTTTAATTTCTAAAATATGTACCATGTTATAATGAAATGAGTTATTAATTGTTGTAGAAGCATAAATAATATGGTAAATATAATTAACCAAAAAATATGAAATAAACCACATTTGTAATACCTTCTAGCCCATTTGTGCCTTTTGAAAGATCAAAAGATTACTCAGGCTGAAAATGTTACCAACATACAGAGCTCAAAAGGAACATTTTCAGAACAATAATGACTGAACTATTCACATTGTGAGTCAGTAATTATATATTTTTCTGATACAGATCAAAGACACCGACAAATACTAGTCCGTTTTTTTTCTTAACGAAAATAAAATGCAAAAGATAGTGTATAAGAAGTTGAGGACTCAGTGAAGGCAGCACATCGTGAGTGTCAAGGCTAAAAAAAGCTCCATCTTTCGTCCCACTTACACCGGCAATATATACTAGACCACATTGAGCTAAAAGTTACTGAAGAAGCCAGCAAAATATCTTACTCGAGCATCTTCGAGAGATGAGGATTCAACTGGAATTTCGGAGATTAGCTAACCCACTTAGTATCCCTTCGAGGGGTTTGCTGATGGAGCTTCTTTTATCCTGGAAAGATTACAGATGCTTCAAAATCCCACTAACATCTTGACCCATAAATACAATATGAAGCTATTTATACGCAAGAAATGCAGCAGATTACTGAAACACCACCAATGCATAACATATATAAAATGCTTCTCATATGAAAATTTCATCCCTGGCTTTGAGACTACACTTATCAGCAAATTATGTGAGCATAAAATAACTGAGAAGATAGAAATGTATACGTCTATTACACTCCATTTTGTTCAAATCATTTAAGTTCCTTCAATCTCCATTCTATTTCTTAATCTTAACTACTTGATATGTCAATTGGGTTATAATTTATATTCTTAAAATAAGTAGAATTTAGTAGTAATATATATATATATATATATTTTATGTATAACTAAACAAATTCTATTCGTATTTTAAATTCTACAATGATGAATTTGTGTTCCTGCCTGTCCAAGCAAAAATTACAAAAATAAATAAATCGAAATTAACATGGAATTGACTTGATATTAGAATAATATTTGAAGAATTATGAAAGCAAATAAATTGAATTTATACTTCAAATTAGGATGATATTTTGCCGAAAATTTTACATTATTTGTATTTAATTCTCATTCTTACTCATTTTTTAAAAAAAAAATTAAAAAAAAATATTATTATGAACAATAGTACTAATGGAGTACCGCCCGTATGCAAAATTCTCATTCTTACTCAATAGAACAGAAACTTAAATGAAATGCAACCTTAACGTAATAAAGTGGTTATAAGTTGACCTTATCTATTTCTAATAATGGCCTAACAATCTAATACCATTATCACAAAGTTACTGAGGTAAAAACGAACCTTCAGGGATGGAACAAGAGCGAAAACCTCATCAATAGTTTCTGGATGCGCATTGGCAATCACACATATCTGCATCAGGACACTTGTATCAGGAGGAAATAAATGCCATAATAGCTCAAATTCAAAGTTAATAACTTAAGTTACCTCACCATCAGTGACACCATAATTTGTCAGAGTCCTGATATTAGAGTTAAAATATGTAAACACCAACTTGGAGAATTCAAACAGAGGTCATATAATACTTAAGCTAGTACACACAATGCTCCATAGAAAATTCATATGGAGAAGTATAATGAAACAAGGATACTCGAGAAGCTTTCTAACGGGCTGAGGGTCCGTAAAATTGTTTTTGCTTTTTGCATACTGCAGTCCTTTGTCAAATGATCTGCATAGAGACAACAGACTTTAGAGGCCGTCAAAAAGTGATTTACTTAAACACAAAATTGGTGCATGTAAGTTACTAACACAGGGATTTTAATTGTTGGATCTCTAGATAACACAACCATCTGGTCCTGGATTCCTTCTAAGATTAATGCAGCCTCACAGTCCATCAGGCACTTAGCATTTTCTGGAAGTTCTGTAAAATATTGCAAAACAACAATAATAAGAAAATATCACCCAAGTCGAGAAATGCCCCAACATGTATGAAAAAAACAGATATAATATATCTCTATATGTGGAAGTACAGGAACAGGAGAATATTTTATTGCAATTCTTCTTCTGCTGAGATAAGTAACCATTAGTTTAGGATTTTTAATATTTTGCTCAAAGGCAAGCCCATCTCGGATGGTGTTTATTTGTAGATTTATCCGATTTCTTGTCTCTGAGAGTCTTGTAGATATTTCCTTCTCTGTAGATATTTCCTTTTTGTACTTGGGTTCTCCCCCACCACCTGGGTGCATCGTTAATTTATGGTATTTTCTTATCTAGAAAATAATATATCTCTATAAACAGAAGAATTTGCAGTTAATGCACATCAATTATTTACCAGCTGCATCATGCAAATCTGGGAAAGTAAAAACGACAAATACAGCTCTGCCTCATTTCAACAACCAGTGACTCATATCTTCTACAAAAAAGTGGCAACCACTAAATAGCCATCACAGACACCTTAATGATGTTATCCTCTAATAAAGTTACTGAAAAAAGAAAAGCAAAGTAGTCAACACACTAAGAGACTCACAATTACTAAAATAAAGCCGATGCACAGAAAAACAAGTGAAGCAAGGAGAAATTTGATAAACAAGTTCCAATTAGAATATTTCCTCCATAGTAATTCATTTAAGACAATCTGTAGGGAATAACTTTTTATTTTTTCTGATTTTAACTATTTTCTTGCAGAACATGTTCCTTAAGAATATGATATAGCACCAAGATGAAATTTTTCTTTGGAAAAGGGTTAGCATTGCATCTGTTTGCAATTAAACAGAAGAAAGAAGAGGTATTATTGCCAACAAGCACCAGCGAAAATATAAGGAAGAACAAATATATTACAATTATTGGATTGGAAGATGCTAACTCCATATCATTCTGACAAATGATAGCTAAACTAATATATCTTAAAACAAAATAAAGTTTGTGTCAATAATATGAAAGTAGCTAGGTACAAACCTGCCCCAATTTTGAGCTCTAGTGGCTGGGGTTCCTTCACTGCAGAAATTTTTCCTCCTTTTACGGATTTGTCTCCTTTTCCGACTTTGATCCTATCACCTTCAATGTTTTAACCATTGCGATGACAGGATATCAGATAGCAAACAAGAATACAGAAGACAATGATAAAAAGAACAAATTAATACCATTACCACCTAGACCTTGAAACTTTCCATCAGAACTTAACGGAGAACTCAAATTGGGCTCGGACAAACCTAAAGTGCAGATAGAACAACCATGAAGCCAAAAAGGTGGAAGAATGATAAACCTCATGAAAAGCATGCATAAACTTGTTGAGATTTTCCTAAAGAGAACCAAAACATAAATGAGATTTAAAATTGAATAGAAGAAGAGAACCCTCAGCATTGAAGTGAACTTTCCTTCCCCTCTTTGACTTAGCCGAACTATCATCCTTCCCTTTCAATGATGCTACACCAAAGACAAAGAAATAAACAATAAACATAAGTATGGTGCTTTAATAACAAAACTGTAGAAATTTTAGCGATGCTTTAAAAGGGAAGAAGGAAACAATATAGGTTCCTCGAACAACAACAGATTCTATGGCCAATTGCCAGATACTAAATGAACAAAAAAATACCATAAATAGCAGCCACAAATGTTAATACCTCTAGACCAGAGGGGGGAAAAGGAAAGATTCCTGCTTTTCTAGAAAGATCTCTAAGTCAAACAGAACTAATAGTACCAGAACAAAAAGGCAAACCATCAAAGCTCACGAGGTACTTTAAATTATGACCCAAAGTTCAGAGAACAACCATCTTATTACTAGCACAGCGCCACATGGAAAGAGCTCAGTGATTTCTGGCTTTTCAACGCCTTGAGCACAAAATTGAACCAGCATCATTGCAAGGCTAAAGCTAATATGTTCCTGACATTGTACCACATGAAAGAAACTGACTCTTTCTTTTACAAATAGGTGGAAACTTAGAGTTGACAAACAATTGGAAATATATGAAAACAAGATACAGCAATGGTGAACCAATTACTATAAAAAAACGTAATTCCTTTTAAGGAACATCGATATCTAAAAGTAATGAACAGGCTTCTTATGTTTCATTTGGTTCAATGCTCATTGAATTTCTAGCTAGTTTGTACTTCTAATTCTCATATTAGTCTTCTATGCACAATTACAACATAACATGTAGTTTTTTTGAGATAGCACCTCCCCTGCCTTGAATTTCCATGATTATGAAAAACCAACCCACCTTGAACTCCTTGTTAGTTAAAATTCAACAAGCACTTTGAAAAGTAGGATGGGAATTTCCATAATCAAGAAAATTCAAGGTGGTGTGGTGGTACTTAAACACAACAGTTATGTTGTGTTTTTTCAATGCCTTGAGCACAAAATTGAAACAGTATCTTGCATGGCTAAAGTTAATATGTTCCTGTCATCATAACACATTAAAGAAAGACTGATCCTTATCTTTTGCTACAAAGAATAGGAACATATGAAAACCAGACACATTGATTGGGAACCAACTTTTATCAACAAGATTGCAGGAATTTCCTTTCAGGAATATAGATATCTAAAAATGACAAACATCTTTCTTATGTTGCATTTGGTTCAATTTCCATTCAGGTCATAGTTATAATTCTCATACTAATCTTCTATGCATACTTAGAACATTAAATGCAGTTCTTTAAGATACCACAACCCCTGTTTTGAATTCCTTGATTATGCAAGTCCAACCCATCTTGAATTCCTCGTTGGTTAAAATTCAAATTCCTACGATCAAGAAATTCAAGATGGTATAGTAATAACTTAAATAAAACAATTTATGTACTAATTATGGATAATAACACTAATCTAAAAATTTGAACTAGGAATTGACTGGGAATCAAATAGGAATTGAACCAAAGCAAGATCAGAGCTCATAACCGACAGGCTATGAAAGAACACAACCAAAATGAAACGATAAAACGAGCGAGTAAAACCAGAGAAGTTCAAACCATCTTACATTTGGCTCCTTTAGATGGTAGTGAAAAACCTTTTCCTCCTTTCTCCGACATTGGTGCCTACCCACCACCACCTACTTCCGCAACTCCACATAAAGCATTGAGCAGATATGTGTTAATCAATAACACCAAATACGCCAAACGAACATAAACCTACTTTTCATTCGAAGAAACAGAATCGGCATTTCATGGAATTTTTACGAAAACGCATAACTCGTAATCAATTCACATCAAATTTCTCGATACCAAAAAAAAAAAAAAAAAACTACGTACGAATCATATCAGCTCAACAAAAATCAACGCTGAAGGAATCGTTTTTCCCTTAAATAAATGGAGAAACCTAAGCAAAACTCAAATTGTTCCGGACTAACAAATTTAAATTGAAGGAGAAAGAAAACTATAAGTACAATGCAAGAAGAAGTTACCTGCGATCGAGAAGGAAGAACAGTAACTACTCAGCGACCAGTGGGGGTGGGGAAGGGGGAAGAGGACTCGACTACTACAGGTTTTTTTTTTTTTTCCCCAATTATATAGAGAATATATTATTATTTTTGTATTATAATTAAATTTTAAAAAATTTTGTAATTTACATTTTTATTATTAAACGTACAGAATTATTTAAATTTAAAATTTTTTATATTCTATTTTTGTAAACGTATAGAATTATTTTAATGTAATATACATATAATAGCATATATTAGAAAATAAAAAAATAAAAAAAAAATTATTCCCACTGAATTAATTTTTTATTTTTAAAATTTTTCCTAAGTAAAAACTTTATGTTTCTAATTTTTTTATTTTAATTAATAATTTTCAGCTCAACCCGACCCATCATGAATCGGGTATGAGGGGACAATAAAGTAAATGCAAAATATTTCGCGTTATTTTTTTATCAACCCCCCATTATGAAAGTGTTCCGAGAATGATGGGCTTCCAGTAAACTAACGAGCTAGCTTACTTCAAGTCTATTAAAAGACTCTCTATGTTACGCACTGTCTGATTGCCGTTTTGTGTACGTTAGACTTGCTCATTAAGAATATGTCCCCGCTTATCATAATATCTATATTTTTATGTTTAAAGAGAGTGGTAGTCGTGCTTCACGGGTCGTGCTCCACACCCGTGAAGCACTTTCTCCCCCTTTTTGGTATGTCTTTTTATTTGAGTGAAGTGAAGTTCATGCGAATGAAGTTCACGAAACAAAAAAACAACGAGACTCCTAACTTATTTTTGTTCACAATCAAATTAATCTAAAAAATTTGACACTTGTTATGAAAGTGTTTTGGGAATGTTGGGCTTACTTCAAGTTTATTAAAAGACTCTCTATGTTACGCACTGTCTGATTGTCGTTTTGTGTACGTTAGACTTGCTCATTAAGAATATGTCCCCGCTTATCATAATATCTATATTTTTATGTTTAAAGAGAGTGGTAGTTGTGCTCCACACCCGTGAAGCACTTTCTCCCCCTTTTGGGTATGTCTTTTTATTTGAGTGAAATGAAGTTCATGCGAATGAAGTTCACGAAACGAAAAAACAACGAAGCTCTCAACTTATTTTTGTTCATAATCAAATTAATCTAAAAAATTTGACACTTAGTTACAATTTCATCCTAGTATTTTTTTCTTTTTTTAAAATTTAAACCTCTCGTGTCTATCATTTAAGAAATATAATAAACGTACCCCGAAATAAGAATAAAATTATTCCGCGCTGAAATTAATTACATTCAAAATAGTAAATTTAAAATCAAATATAAAAAGAAAATAAATTAATTTCCATGAATAAACTACCTTGTTTACAATATCAGAACTTGAAAACTCCATATACAAATTGGATTATTTACATTATCTATGTATTTATGAACAAGAACAAGAACCCATTTTGGTTAAGTTTGAAATCATGGGATTTATCTTGAGTGATTCACTTTTGAGATAATCCAAATACCCATGATAGATATATAACCAAGGATTTCCAAAGATTGTATATGGGGAAGTAGAGAAAAAACAAATTTGTTCTGGTTAAGATTGGTTGATGAAGATCATTTCAAATTGCAAAGAGGACATTTCAATTTTCACAACATAAAGATTATGATATATATGAACAGAATGATATACATATATATATATATATATGCAGATAAACACCAGAAATCTCAACACCTTCACCTCCTCTTCCCAATGAACCAAGTAAATGAACAAACAAACACAAACCAAAAAGTTCAATAGCTACAGAGCTTCATCTATTGAGATGAGAGAAGACCAAAAAGTTCTAACCTTGACATTGTAAATCAAGAGACTCAATTTCTCTCTAACTAAACTATTAGCCTTTTGCACAACAATATGCCACATTCTCCAAGCAAAACCAAACCCATCTCCATTTTTCCCAGGCTTATACCTTGAAAGTTTGCCAAAACTCAGGTATCATCAACTTGGGAGTGAAACACAAAACTCGGAAATGTGGTGGTGATGTCTCTGAACAAAGAAAAAACCAAGTTCGTTTCAGTTGCGAAAGCCAAATTTTTCTATAAGAGTTGCAGGTAATATTTAATAAGAACGACAACTAAATTTCCGAGCTAATTAAAGTGTCTTCTTTTGGCCTTCTAAGAATACTCTATCATGGATACGCGATATTATGGTAGTAGGAATACAAAATGGTTAAAAGTAGCAACTCACTTGAGATATTGAAGAGTCATATTCTTTAAAAGGGATGGATGCCGCAGCACAAGGTTTCGCCACTCTTCCTTGTCAATCTTCCCGTCATGTTTGGTGTCAGCTTCTTCAAAGGTCTAGAACAAAGAATATAAGGAACCCAAGATAAATTATGAAATAAGCAAATAATATGCAGGGTGAAAAAGGTAAAAATTGTACAAAGATGTTTTTTCTTTTCCATTATAACAAATTAGGGTTAGGATTAGATGAATGAAGA